CGAGACAGGGTTTCTCTGCGTAGCTTTGCGCCTTTCCTGGAGCTCACTTGGTAGCCCAGGCTGGCCTCGAACTTACAGAGATCCGCCTGGCTCTGCCTCCCGAGTGCTGGGATTAAAGGCGTGCGCCACCACCGCCCGGCTATAAGTGGGTCTTAACTGCCATCACGCAAGGGAAGGCAAGTGTCCTCACTCTCCATCAGGAGTGAGGCCCCGAGGCCTTGAGACAGCGGGACACTGAGCAGTACAGTCACCAGGGAAACCCACCCCTCTCCATCCACTTCCAATCGGAAGGGCAAGCCAGACCTTGCAAGTCTCAGGACGGCGCTACTGGGTGCTGGATGTTCTCCTAGCAAAGAGAGAGAGCCTGAGCTTTAGGCGTACCTGGACACCCAAGAACGTTAACTGTGCTTCAGAGCACCTGCTGGCTCTCATTCCACACGAGAGAGGGTCTGGTTCCTGTGATAAAAAACACTCTGACCAAAGTCAGCTTGGTCACAGCCATATTGTCACAACCCATCATTGAAGAAATCGGGGCAGGAACTCACAGCCAAGGAAGCACAGGAGAGGCTATGAAGAAAGGCTGCCCGGGGGTTCACTCTTCTGGCTTACTCAGCTTTCTTATACGGCTCAGGACCCCTGCCTAGGAACAGCACTGCCCACAGTGGGCCGGGCCCTCCATCAATTCGCAATTGAGATAATGCCTCACCGACAAGGCCATACATAGGTCAGTCTGTTCTCGGCAATCCCGCAGGTGAGACTCCCTCCTCAGGTTACTTACTGTAGGTTGTGTCGAGTTGACAAGTGACAGGGATGGATTCTAATCTGAGTTCTGCCACTGCCTTGCTGTGTGGTCTTAGACCCATTCCTTCACCTCTCTGAGCATTCGCTCTCATACCCATAAGACAGGGGGAGGGGTGGGTAAGTTAGATGGTTTCAGAGATCTCTAAAGGACAGAACTCCAAAGGTTTACAGAGAACACCAAATATAACTTGGAGACCCTAGCTATCACTTTTTTTTTTTTTTTTTTTTGAGACAGGCTGTCATGTAGCCCAGGCTGGCTCCAAACTTATTACGTAACTGAGGCTATCCTTGAGTCCTGGGATGACGGGCATGCAGCTGGCTAGATGCCATTCTTCTGTGAAGGCAGCTCCAGCAGCGGCTAGCTAGCTCCATTGAGCATCTGGGTGTACACAAGCGGCCAGCTCAGCTTAGTGGCTGAGAGCAGGCTGCATTCAGCGCATCATAAAGATGTTCTAAACCAGGCAGAATCATCTCTCAAACTTGCAAAATTAGACTCAATTATTTTTAAAACAATGCCTCCCTTAATTTGCAAATGAGCACAGCAGAACGCTAAGAAGGGTCCTATTTTGGATGCTCAGTATGTAGCCTTTTCAATCGAGATTCTAAGGCGCTCTCTCTCTCTCTCTCTCTCTCTCTCTCTCTCTCTCTCTCTCTCTCTCTCTCTCACACACACACACACACACACACACACACACACACATCACCACCACCACCACCACCACCACCCTCCTGGCTGGTTATTAATAAGCCTGCCGTTTCCTGGGTTTAAATTAGCCCCAAACATCAAACCCAGGGCACAGAGCAGCTGCTGGCTTTTTGCTCTGTAGGAGTTATTTGTCTGATTCTATCCCAGACCAAAGGCCCGTTTCCCATTTTCTCAAGAAACGTGGGCCGATCCTCCCTGGCACTCTGGAGTTTAGCTGACATGAGATCACTGTCTCTCTCACCTGAGTTCCCTAGCTTACCAAGAAACACACATTTTAAGACCACAAGAGGGACTTGGAGAGATGGCTCAGCGGTTAAGAGCACAGACTGCTCTTGACCTCAGTTTGGCTCCCAGCACTCATGTTGGGGGCTCACAGTCACCTGTAACTCCAACTCCAGGAGATCCAATGCCCTCTTCTGGCCTTCAAAGATACCTGAACTTGTGTACACACACACACACACACACACACACACATACACAGATACACATAATTAAAAATAAGACAAATCCTTAAAAGAAAACAAAAAAGATTGAATGGTGCCGCACACCTTTAATCCCAGCACTTGGGAGGCAGAGGCAGGTGGATCTCTGTGGGTCTGAGGCCAGCCTGGGCTACAGAGGAAGTTCCAGGACAGCCAGGGCTACACAGAGAAACCCTGTCTCAAAAAACTTTAAAAAAAACAAAAACAAAAACAAAATAACAAAAAACTACAAGCCACGTGTGGAGGTGTACACTTTAATCCTAGCACTCAGGAGGCAGAAGCAGGCAGATCTCTGTGAGTTCAAAGCCAGCCTGGTCTACACATTGAACTTTAGGCCAACCAGGCCTATAAAGTGAGACCCTAGCTCAAATTTAATTAATTTCTTAAAAAATCTACAAGAAGGCCGAAGATGTGGCTAGAAGGTTTGGTGATGCATACCTGTAATCCCAGGAGGGGAGAACACGGGAGGATCAGGAAGGAGTTCAAGACCAGACTCTGCCACAGAATGAATTCCAGGGTAGCCTAGGCCACATGAGACCCAGCCTCAAAAATTCAAAAATAGGGCTGGAGAGATGGCTCAGAGGTTAAGAGCACTGACTGCTCTTCCAGAGGTCCTGAGTTCAATTCCCAGCAACCACATGGTGGCTCACAGCCATCTGTAACAAGATCTGGTGCCCTCTTCTGGCCTGCAGTCATACATGCTGTATACATAATAAATAAATAAATCTTTAAAAAAATTCAAAAAACAAGAGTATACCATGAGACTGGCAACAGCAAGTACTGGCACTATTGAAGAATTCTGTAAGACAAGAGGTCCACCTAGGAAGGTGTCAGTATGTACCAGGCAGAATGATGCTCAGAGGCTCCCATTTGGTGAGTCTGGCCATGCCAGGCACCAACTGCTCCTTGTTTGAGGGTACCACAGAACCCGTGAGGTCAGATGCCTTGCGGAGGCACGCTGATGTCCCAGTCGAGAAGGGTGGGCCATAGGTGAATTAAGCTAATGGTGTGAGTTAGCAAACCTTGTTGGGGAGAGAAATTTTTTTTAAAAAAGAGGGAATCGGGGTCTCCAAAAGGGTTATGATTTTAAAAACCATACTCAACAGGTAGCAAACAGTATGTCTGCTGAACCTGACAGGAAATAGGCCTGTGAGGTGTTTGAATAAGGGTATTCTAGGCAGAAGGACAGGCTGGGCAAAGGCCCTGAGGTTGGGACATGCCTTGTCTGATTAAGGACAGTAAGGAGGCTCATGATTGAAGCGTATCAAGAGACGCACAGAGGAGGTAAGAACCAACAATGAACAAGGGGGCTTGTCATCCAAGGGAGGATAGGAGTCACAGAAGAATTCTAAGCTGAAGGACCTAGCATCCCTCAGGGCTGCTGGACTGAGAAGACCATAGAGTGAACAGCAGTGAGGATAGAGTGGACGGAGGTGAGGATAGAGTGGACGGAGGTGAAGATAGAGTGGACGGAGGTGAAGATAGAGTGGACGGAGGTGAGGATAGAGTGGACGGAGGTGAGGACAGAGTGGACGGCAGTAAGAAGGACATGATCAGAGAAGAGACCACTGCAATCGTCTCAGCACTGGTGGAGGTGGCTGGGTAGCTGGTACAGTTCTTGATAGTCAGAAGTAGAACCAACAGAATTAGTTGAATCCAGATGGGATTGAGTTCAAATCCCAGCACACTCCAGATCTTGGGTGCCTCACAGACCCTCCCTGGGACTTTGTTTCCCTTGGGACTAGTGTGTGTCACAGCTTTCTTCAATCTACTGTGTCGAAGTTAGAGTCCCATCTCCTGTGGCTTCACAGAGCTAAGGAGAAATCCGTCTGATCAGAGGTGGACTCTGAGGAGTTGATGAGACCAGGGCCATGGAAGCAGGGTGGGTCACAGCCCATGACCATCCTCGATTCAACTTTGGCCTTCCTCCTGATGTCCAGCCTCAGCCTTTCTCTTTGCTTCTCCATTTCCTCACCTTCCTCTATTAACTGCAGTCTCTGGTTCTCCCTTGAAAAGGCTCACACTGCCCCTGGGCCTTTGCACATACCAATCCTGTGAAATAGGTAGGGAGGGAGGGTGGGTGGAGGGAGAGTGGGTGGGTGGGTGGGTGGATGGATGGATGGATGGATGGATGGATGGATGGATAGATAGATAGATAGATAGATAGATAGATAGATAGATAGATAGATAGATAGATAGATAGATAATAAATAATTATGTGTTGCCTAGTCCAACGAGCTTTTGTGGCGTAGGTGTGTCTTCCACGGCATCCTGGGACACAGGAGATGGAGGTGGACACTTCGCTTCCCATCAGCGCTTTCCACACCTAGACCCAACTCAGTCCTATCCATTACTCCCCACCACCCCCAGTGAGCCAGGGCAAACACTAATCCGACCCACCAAGTCATATTAAAAGACTGACCGTGTGGAGGCTGAGAGGCGGCTCAGTCAGTAAAGCCCTTGCCATGAGAGCATGTGGACCTGAGTTCAGCCTCCCGCACCCAGGTAGAAAGTTGGGTGTGGCAACATGTACCAGGAACCCTGGTAACGGTGAGGTGGATACACGAGGATCCCTGAGGCTGGGTAGCCAGCCAATCTAGCTAAATTGGAGAGCTCGGGTTTTGGTGAGAGGCTCTCTCAAAAACTAAGAGAAAGATAAGGAACACACTTGACATGGACCTTTGACCTCCCTCCACACATATGTGAGTGTACACACATACACACACACACAGTTTTTGTTGTTGTTGTTTTGACTTGAAACAGGATCTCATGTAGTCCAGGCTAGCCTTGAACTCACGCTATAGCTTGGGATGACCTTGAACTTGCCTCCACTTCCTGAGTGCTAGGATTGCAGGTATACCCCACCATACTCAGAAAAAAAAAAGTTTTCCTTGTTTTATTATTTTTATCAATTTTGCCTATGTGTGTGCGCGCATGTAGCATGTGGAAGTCAGAGGACAACTTTCAGGTCAATTCTCTCCCACCACCATGTGGGGATCAAACTCAGGTCACCGAGTTTGGCCGCAAGCACCTTTACCTGCTGAACCATCTGGCAGGGCAGGAGAACCATTTTCAGAAACAAGTTTTTGTTAGAAATGCTGGGAGCCCTGACTTGATTCTTTCTGTCTCTCGTAAATGTTTTCTGTCCCATCCTCTTAGCTCTTGCTGGACGGATAAATGGATGATTAATAATCTGGAGAGAAAGCTGGAGCCACTGGCACCATTTACATGCCAGCTGCTCTTATGCAAAATTGTTATTCAGAGGGTGCAAACATTGTCCTCTCGGTGGGGTACACTTGCTCCAAAGGGAGGTGGGGAAAAACCAAAGGGAGGAGGCAGAGGACCTCAAAAACACAGGCAGAGGGTCCTAAAGCCCAGGAGCAGGCAGGGAGGCCACTCCCTACCTGAAGTTCCTGCTGCAGCATCCTGCCACTCAGAATGTGCACAGCTGAGCCCTGGGGAAGCAGAAACAGGAGGATGCCAGGGGCTGCTAAGCCAGCCAGCCTAGACTCCTGGGCAAGCTCCAGGCCTGTGAGAGATCCTGTCTCAAAAGCCAAGGTGGATGGCTCCCGGGGAATGATACCTGATGCTCACACACACACACTCACAATTTTTAATAAAAATGCCAGGCTGGGGGGATGAAATCAGTAGAGTTGTTGCTGGCCCAAAGTGAGCCACTTAGCTGTCCTCTCTCACGGTCTAGATTCCTCACCTGGAAAAAGAAGTGAATTTGGGCATGGTGGTACAAGCCTATCACCCAGCACTGGAGAAACTGGGGCAGGACAACAAGACTGGACTGGGCTATATAGTGAGAATCCATTTCAAAAGGAGGAGGAGGAGGAGGAGAGAAGGGGGAGGAAAGAGAGGAAGCAGATGGTGAGAGGAAGGGGAACGGGGAACCTTCAACGGAGGGGGGAGAAGGGGGAGAAAAGGGCAGAGGAGGAGGGAAGGGAAGGAGGAGGGGGAGAGACCCACGCTACATGAGCACTTCATACCTGGTACCATAGTAGATTTTTTTTTTTTAATTTCACTTTATGTGTTTGAGAGTTTTACCTGCATGTATATATGTGCACCATGTGTACACAGTGCCCAAGGAGGCAAGAAGAGAAGGATCACTGTATTCCCTGGACCTGGAGTTATAGACATGTGGATGCCGGGAATCAAACCCTGGCCCTCTGGATGAGCGCAAATGCTCTTCAAGCTGAGCCACCTCCCTGGTCAAAAGCTCATGGCCGGTGGGGGAGGGGCATCAGCACTACCAGGACAATAACATCCATGTCCACCTGGCGGGTGGGATGTATTACAAGGACACAGCGTCACCAAAACGGAGGGCACATTCTACCCTCCAGGGTACAACCACGAACATGTAGTCAAGGACTTAGAGCCATGTCTGCCCCATGCTCTCCCAATGCTCACACAAAGAGCTTTGTGCCAATGGCTGCCCCATGCTCCCCCAATGCTCGGGCTGCGGAAGCTGAAGGTGAGGGTTGCTGCCGCACACCAGGACCTGCCATACACTTCAGCATGACGGAAGCAACAGGGGAAGCTCTGTGAATGAAGACACACATGACTTTCTTCGAGCCTAGAAACCTGTCAAGACTCAGGCATCTGCAGCTCCGGAGAAGACTCTAATTTCAGCATATTCCCGTTCTCCGTTGCCTTCCCTTCCCATGGTTACAGGGATCTGGCAGGTGCTTTGGGGTTCCACAAGCTGGGGCGATGGGAGTGATGTCTAAGAATATCTGAAGCTGCTTCCCAGACGTCTGTGATGCTGTTTGCCTTGGTTGGTTTTTTTTTTTTTTTTTTTTTTTTTTCCTTTAGATCCTGTCTTTGGATCCCCATCTGCTCTATAGCCTGGACACTTGCTGAGCCCATGATACCAGGCAGGCTTCAGACCCGAGGGCCAGCAAGATGGCTCCAAAGGTAAAGGAGCTTGCCACCGAGTCTGATGAACTGAGTTTGATCCCTGAGATTCACGTGACGGGAGAGAACAGAGCCCCTCTGATCATCCCCTGACCCCCGTGAACATGTGCTGGCACACATGCACTCTCCCCCACACAGATGGTGCACAAATGAATAAATGTAAAATGTAAAATGAGGGTCTGAGAGATGGCTCATGGTTGGAGAGCACTGGCTCCTCTTGCAGAAGACGGGAGTTTGAATCTCAGAACCTACATGATGACCCTCAACTGCCTCTAACTCCGGCTCCAGGGGCTCTGACGCCCCCTTCTGGCCTCCACAGGCACTGCAGACATGTGGCAGACTCACATGGACACATCAAGGAAAATTTAAAAAATAAAATAAGCTGGGCATGGTGGTGCAGGCCTTTAATCCCAGCACTCAGGAGGCAGAGGCAGGCAGAGTTGGAGAACGGTCTGGTTTATATAGTGAGAACCCTCTCAAAAGATTAATTTTGATTGAGTAAAGTAAGAACTCAGAGAAAGGGGGTGGGGAAGCCAGGCAGTGGTGGCGCACGCCTTTAATCCCAGCACTCGGGAGGCAGAGCCAGGCGGATCTCTGTGAGTTCAAGGCCAGCCTGGTCTACAGAGTGAGTTCCAGGACAGGCACCAAACTTACACAGAGAAACCCTGTCTCAAAAAAAAAAAAGAAAAAGAAAAAGAAAAAAAAAGAACTCAGACCCTCACCTCCAGAGGAACCGACATAGGCTTGGATGTGATCTTGAACATTTACCTCCACAGGGAAATCTGCTTGTACAGCTATCCTCAAACCACAGGAGGACAGATGGGTGTCCTGGTGACCTTGAGAAGCTGCACATTTCGGACTACGGCTCAGTGGTAAGAGTGCTTGCATAAGTTGCCCAAGGTCCTGGGTTCTACCTTCAGCACTGCAAAGCGAAGTTTTTAAAGAGCCAGCTGTGCTGTCCCATGCCTGTAATCCCAGAATTTGGGGAGTGGAGGCAGAAGGATCAGGAGTTCAAGGTCATCCTACTTAGTGAGTTTGAGGCCAGCCTGGGCTACATGAGAACCTAGTCCAAAAAGTTAGAAAGAAAAAAAGGAGGGAAGGAAGGGGGGGAGAACAGGCTGGCAGGCAGATAGATCTGATGCAGAAGTGAGCTCTGAGACTGCATTGCCAACAGTCCAGAAGAGCGACCATTCTTTAGATGGGAGGGTCCTGTGAGCCTCCACCCAAGAGCATCCTCTGCCTGGCTCTGCCTTGGGAAGCTGAGCCCTGTGGATCACGGCGGACTGTGGCCCCTACAGATCCTAAGCCCCTATAGCTGCTAGGCCTGTGCCGCTTGGCTCTCTTGACTTGCCAGTGGGTTAAGACAATGCAGTTAGAGTTGGAGACGGGGAAGGAATCAGCAGGCATTTCTTCCTCCCTTTCCTGCTACCCCCTTCTAAATCTGAAGCTCCAGCCAGGGTCTCTCCCTGGCCCAGGAACCAACCACTCCAACCAGAATCTACATTTGTATATTCACAGATGCACTGTACCTCTCAAAGGCAGGAACGACTAACCTATCTTGAGGTTGAATCTTGGCTAAGGAGTAGAGGATTTGAACCCCAAACAAATTCTTTTTCAGTGTAATTATTATATATTTCAGTATAAAGCTGGTCCTGCTATCGTGGCTCATGCCTTCAATCCCAGGCAGAGGCAGGTGAATCTCTGTAAGTTCAAGGCCAGTCTGGTCTACAGATCGAGTTCCAGGATAGCCAGGGTCACATTCTGAGACCGCTTAAAAGCAAAGCATATTCTACGCAGGGAATATTAAGACTCATTTGTCTGTGAGCTGAAAACAGGCTTCACAGTACAGGGCTGCCTCCTTGTAACCTTTGATTTGCTTTGTTCTAGAGTCTGAATGTAGTCCAGGCTGGCCTTGGACTCAATACATAGCAACTCCCGTCTGCCTCCACCTCCCAGGATTACAGGCACATGCTACCACACCCAGTTGGCTTTCAACTCTTACTTCAATAGCTATATTCAATTGAAAAGAAATGACATAACTTTACATATGCCTGGGGTTAGAGTGACATTTCAATCCGGTATCCACTGTGTGATCAGATTGGGATACGTGGCATATCCATCACATCGAACAGTTAGCATTTCTTCGTGTTTGGGAGCACTCAAAATCCCCTCAATTAGCCATTCTGAAATACACAATTAATTGCTGTCAACCATAATCATCCTCCTGTGAGACAGAACATTAGGCTCCATTGATCCCATCAAACTGTACCCCTGAGCTCATCCATCATTCTTTCCCCATCCTCCCCAGCAGCCACACTCCCGGTCACCGCGGTATCGGGGCCTCGCGTGACAGGAATATCAGGCTTTGGTACCTGGACTACTGTGATGGCTGATCTCGGTGGTCAGTTTGACATAACTAAGAGGAGGGAACCTCCGCGGAGGAATTGCCTCTATCAGACTGGACTGTGGGCAGACTGGAGATAGGAGAGCCCAGTCCACTGTGGGCGGAACCATCCCTAGGCAAAAAAGGTAGCTAAGCAAGTCAGTAAACAGTTTCTGTTTCAAGATCCTTGAGTTCCTGCCTTGGTTTTCCCTTGATGATGGAACCTGTTTGTGGAATAAACCCTTTCCTCTCCAAGCTGTTTTTAGTCACAGCAACAGAAAAGCAAATGAGAATAACTATCAACACCACTGGGTCCGTAGACTTCTAGCTCATTGTTGTGCAAATTCACTTTGGAATCCAAACTAGTTGGGGGTCGGGATTGTGTCTGAAATCAAAGCTCTCAAGACCAAGGTCCCCTTTCACCCCCTCAGAGTATGAAGGGACACAAAGCAGATGTGAGATGGGACCACATGGAGGGTAGGTTCTCGGGCCAGGAAATTCTCTGTGGAAAGGCAACCTACCTAATCCAAGAGCCCTGGATTCCTTGCTGTAGAATTTGGTCCTCCAAGAGAGGCCACCACCATCTTCATTGGATCAGCTGCGCTTGCTTGCAAGTCCATCACGTGGAGCTTGTAGATGGCTAGCACTCCCTCTCAGGGAAGGTGTGAGGGGGGCCTTCATTCTTCCTTGTGCATGCAGTTCCTCCCTATCTAGAGATGGCCTCTGCAGTCGCTAGAGTATTAAAGGTTGGGGAGCTTAAATGAATGGGGCTCCATCTACACAGCTATCAGGAGTCATCCTCCATGCTGCAGGTAGGCTGCTTTAGGATCACATGACCACATTGCCAATCACCCTTCACCCATGCCCTGTAAGGCACCCAATAAATCCATTGGTAGCCCAGAGTGAACTCTGATGAAACTGTACTCTGGTTTGTCATTGGGACCTTATGAAGAAGGGCCAGGTGTTGCTTATATCTCCACAGGGAAGGAACTGCATTTCATCTGCCCATCGTGGAGGGTTGGCACGGCACTGGTGGGCTCTTTCGTGGCCTCACGACATCACCACTGCCCACTGTGCACAGCCCAGGATCCCAGGAGGATGTGAACTACGGTGTGGAGAGGCCAGCAGTGAGTGCATCGAGCCCGCCTTCCAGCTCCTCTTCTCTTTACCCAATGTGCTCTCGGCCCTGCCAGCCACCTGCAGAGGAACACCCCACCAGCTGCCTCTAACCTGTGCCAGGGGTACTGCTCTTCCTGGCCGGTGGGCATCATGTCAGGTGGTATGGTACCTGTCTGGCATGGCTCAGAGCCTGGCATTTAAAAGGCAACCTGTGTTTTCTGGAGAGCCCAGTGGATCCGATCATCTTCATGGCATGCCTGGGCTGGACCCTAAGGGCCGTGGCATTTTACAGTGTAGGTAACGGGATGCCTTCCCTTCCCAAGAGAGGACAAGCAAGCACCTGCCTGGGTGTTTATGAAATGATTTCCTCCTGCCCAGTACATGCTGTGGCTGGAGGAACAGGGCCTAGAGCTAGAGGTCATGGCTCGGCAGGAGAAAGTCTGTCCAGAATCCCCCAGGGAGGGGTTGGGGTGGGCTCCAGCGCTAACACAGGTGTGGCCCCAGGCTCCCCCTACAGTTAGAAAATAAAGACAGCACCCTTGCTTGGACACGGCTTGTACAGGGAGCGCGGATGTCTCCACGGCACATTGCTGCCCCTGATGCACACGCCTCAGCACCGCTCACGCAACCCCGTTCTGCAGCATTTCCACGGCGGTCACACACAGCCCGGGACCTTTGTTTACTCTCAAGTCCTTCCAGCCAGAATCCCTGCCTCTCCCTGGCAGCCACAGAGCGGGCCAGCAGGGAGACCCTGGAGTGTCAAGCCCTACGCTCAGCACCGCAGAGGCCGTCCAGCAGAACCTGCTGCTGCCTGAGGCGCCTGGTGTGAGCGGCAGACTGAGCCAACAACATTCCCCTTCCTCATCATCCTACTCCCCCCTCCCCCCCGCCCCACGACGGCCAAGCGAATGACAAACGCCGTAATACAAGAAAATGGTTTTATTCTACTATTCAGTTCCAGACAGCTCACAAATACACTGCCTCTGACGATCCACGGAGTCTATGCAGACATACTCTGATGACGTCAGCTAAGAAAGCAGCTGACGCTTGCGACACAGGTGGGCAGGTGACGACCTCTGAGGTTTCCCTACACGAACTGTTCTGTTAATGTCACTTACAAACCCGCGGGCTGCATGTGTGGGCAGAAAGGCAGCTGAGTGCATCTCCTGACGCTAAAGGGTGATAAACAGCAGCAAACAGCCAACATTTACATGATTCACACCAAAATGATGACACCCAAAAACATGTTCCTTTTAAAGGACAGCTTTACCAATAAAATAGTATATTTCTTTAATACTCTGCCTGATGCTTCATATGCTGTGGGGAAGTTAAATGTGAGTCTAGTCATCAGTCTCAGGGAGGGGCCTTTCCCATTAGCCTTTATTAATAAGAGTCACAATTAGGTCATAAATAAACAGGCAAACTGTGAACCCCATGATTGAGGTTTTGAGAGGAACACTTGTTAAACTCAGTTGGATCACAGCCACGTCCACAGCACCACATAACTGCTCTCTGCTCTCACCGGCGGCCTGCCCCCAGAGAGAGAGGCAGGCCGCTGGTGACGGGAGATGCAACGCACTCTACGCAAGAGCTTATCTTTCCATAACGGGGGGAGAAGACTCAACAAAATGCCAGACTAGCACAGAGCCTAGAAAGGCATCTGAAACCAGGGTGACTGTGTGCTGTAAAATGTCCCCAACAACGGACAGGGGCAAAGCCTGCCCTGGGCTTGTACTTTGGCCTGTAGTCTGTTTCCCTAAGGATCACGAATCTACAGAACTCACGAGTGCACCTGCCTTAGTCCCGGCACAGGAAACCAATGCTTATGTTCATGAACCCCCAGGAAACACCCTAGAAATAATGCTGACCACTTCTGAGCCACTGATGGCCACCAGTTCTGTAGGAACAGAGCTGATGACGGCTGACAACATTTTCTCACCCCAGTTTTGCCATAAGAAAGGCGCCCACTGCAACGGCAGAGGTGACCCGGGGCATCACTCGGGCCGCCCATCAGAGGGGTAAGCCTTCTTACTAGGTAAGACTCTTAAGTGTGGCTTTCCAGAAACCCCAATACCATGTGCTAGACGACTTTTTCCCCAAAATATAAAATCCTATGTTTCTAATGTAAAAGGCTCAGCAGTGAGGGGACCACGTGTCCAGTCTGCTCAATGCCGTCACTCTGTGCCTGGGAAGCCGATGTCCACACACTGGCTACTCTGGCCCTGTGACCTCTGACTTGCTCATGAACCAACTCTGCAACTTTCATTCCCACCACTTCAAATCCACACCTCCAATACCACACCTTCCCAGACACTGCACCTGCCTCCAACACACCAAGACCCTGCAACCACCACACTTGACAGATCCGGGAGACCTGGGGACTCCTAGGAATCTGTTTCCTTACTGGTGTGACAACAGGCTGGCTTCTAGGAGGGGAACCCGGAGGAAACCACTTGCTGTACTGAACAGAGTGGGCTCAGAACGGGTCTTCTGCTCCGGGACCTTGAGCTGCAGGCAGAGACGTTAACTCAGTAGATCAGCTGGACAGCCAATCTCTGTGTGCTGGTGAGAGACGTTGTCCCCAATGTCCAGAATCTAGATATTACCACCATCCCCAACACGGTTCATTGTGACAATGTGCTAAAGAGAATAGGGTCTGTGAGAAGACTGCAGCCTCCGCGTTCCCCCGATGAGGGAGCATGGCCAGGCCACGCTGTGCTCTGAAGCAATGAGTCCAGTGGAGAAGGGGCAAGGATCAACACACGTGCTCTGAGAAAATGGCGGCCTCTCTGCTCCCCGACTGCCTCGGGTTGTCAGGGAATGGGAGGCCTCAGAAGGAGCGATCGAGGGCAGGGTCCAGTCCTTCCTTCCAGGGACCGAAGCCAAGAGAATGTGAGTGGGGGCTGTGCCACCGTCGGGTCACGAGCGTCATCCGGATGCTTTCGCTGAAACCGGCTCTTGCGATAACACACGGGCAGAGGGCGTCTCTGGAGAAGGCACTTACGGTAGCACATTAGCAATTCCTGCTGCCTGGTTAGAGCGCACGCGGCTGACGGGAGCTGACGGGAGGCCTGGCCAGGACTGCCGCTCTTCGTACTCAGCCGAGGCCCACGAAGCATCACCTTCACCCACCTGTGGCGCTTCGGGAACGAGCTTCCATCCGTCCCCAAACACGCCCACCCTTACCACACCAGGTCTTCAGGTGAGGATGGTGCAAAACGTGTGCGGTGCCAGAAAAATGGGCTCAGGAGCTTCTAAAATGCGCACTGTACATTTCTCACCTGGCCCACCGTTTGCACCAGCCACTATAAGCACGCAGCCTTGGCTCTTGCTAAGTACAGCCACTTGCTTCCACGGCGTGGGCGGGGGCCGTCTGACAGACTGGTGGCCCCAGAGCATGGCACCTCCACGACACACCTCAAGCTCAGTCTGATCCCCTCACAGGCAGCCACAGAAGAAGTCACGGTCATTCCAGGCCCGAATCTGAGGAAGGCCTGGCTACTTCTGCCGTTGAGCCCTGGGGGGCCCAGAAAGGCCCAGCCACCCTGCTAGTGAGGCTACAGACACCCAGGAGAAGCGACCCGGACGACACCCTGAGACAGCAGCTCAGTGTCTCGGCCTTCCAACTTCCCGAGGGAGCCCCACAGGACAGTGGGCGTCATGCAAGCCCAGACAGGACTGAAGAAAGGGGGCGGGGCGGGTCAGTCAGGAACGAGTGAGGACCAAATGCCGCTTGCTCACTCACTCATCCTGGGGTCTAACACAAGATGATGGTTCCAGTGCAAAGACAACATGGTCACTTCTCCCAAAACAGCTTCTCTGTCCACACCTGAAGCCAAGGGGTCATCTTCGGAGGAAAGACTTCTCATTCGCTGATTCCCGTGGCCTTTCTGCCATGACTTTTTATCCCAGCTTCATCACTGTCCTTTACTGGGTCAGTCTGTGTTGAATGTGCCCCAACATAGCATCATCTGCAGGGAGCGTGGAGAATCCCGATGCCGTGGTGGTGACAGGTGGGGTGCTAAGGAATGGCTGGGTCTTAAGGGTGGACTCATGGGGTCGTCATCGGTTTGCTGTAGACTGAAGCCAGCCCTCCTGCTCTCCCACGGGGCGTGGCACCGCCAGAGGCCCTCACCAGTGCAACCCTGCAGCCTGGCCTCCCGGGCCCTGGAACTAAACAGTGAGTCTCTGGTGATGATAAGCGACCCTAAGCAACCCCTGGCCGGTCGGTATAAGATGAGGAGCGGTTTACAGACTGCTGGCTTCTTGGGGAGGCTGTTCCTGACTTTCCCCAAGTCCTTTCTTCTTACAAGGGGCCCATGATTCCCCAAAGAGAGGGGGTAAAAAATCAGATCAGTTAAGGTCATTAAAAGAAACAAAATCCTGCCCATAACTAGAATTTGAGTCCCATAATGTGTAAAATGCAGAGCACAATTTAGCTGTTTCCACAATTCAAAACCAGTTCTCTAAAAGCAGCGCTGTTGACCACGCAGAGCGGTTTCCCCTTATCTGAGGAAGGGAGGTGCCGGTTGGACTCGAGACTCATGCTCTTCACATGGTTCCAAACTTCACTTCTCAAAAAGCAGTCAGTCAACCCGGGCGGGCGAGCTTCTGAACACGTGGGTCCTGGAAACTTTCTCGTCTATTCTGGACATTTTTAGGGAAGGGGTGAAAGTTCGCATCTGAGGAAGAAAGAAGTTGCAACTTTTAGGGAGCACATATCTATAAGCATGGAGAGCGTCATACTCTCTGGAGGGCGCTGGGCACTGGAACTAGGGTGTCTCACACACACGCTAGACAAACGCTCTCTGCTGAACTACACTGTCGCTGACAGGAATTTTATGTGTGTTTCTAACGTACCACACAAGCCTGCGTCACCCATATGGGTCAACCATGGTGACTGACAGAGGCGCACCTCCCGGGGAAATGACCCAATCAAAAGCCAGGGGAGCCCAGGAGCCCGTGCCCTCAGGCATGGCTGCTCCCGATGCCAAGAGACCAGAGGTAGCAGGGCCTATGCCACTCCAGCCCAGGTCTACGGCAGCACAGTGATGGCTGCTCCTCATCTGCCAACTGTTGAGTGCCAGCCCCACCCCCACGCAGTTCCTGATCTGATTTTAATGCTCAGTGAGCTGCAAACCTAAGCCAGCCTAGAGAGGGACGAGGCCAGAGAAGAGAGGCTGGTTTGCAAAGCTCAATCACAGTACGTTTTGCTCTGGCATACACAAATCACTGGCCCGTCTAGGAACGCTGTGCATCACAGTCCCAGACAGCGCCGTGGCGTGTAGATACCTGCGTGCCGCCACTGGTGGGGCTCATCTGAAGCTCCTCTGCTGCTGCATGAGGCCCACGTTCTCGTAGACCCGAGCGCTGTCCTCCCTCATTCTGCAGAGGAAGAAGGAAGACGCCTGAACTCCCGCCATGTCCCATCAGGCCCCGCTCTGTCTCCAAACGGACATCAGACGGACATGCGCAGTATCATTATGAAGTTGGAAAAGCAGCAGGGGCCTTGAGTTCTGTGCCTTCTGAGCGTGGGTGGGGGTAAGGCTGCTCGGAGGACAATAAAGGAGTCATGTGCACACAAGACAGGAACCGTGGTCATTTCCAGCAGAACAGGTAAAGGCAGGCTCCAGTCACCTTGAGAGCCTTAGGGGAAGAACTAAAGCATCGGAGGGCCAGCCTCCTTCTGTGAAGAAGGGTACCAGAGGAGTCTGTGTGGGTCAGCAGGACAGCTGAGCAGCCCCAGGGCCCAGGATCGGAGGTGTGCCTCCTATGAGGGGACCATGTGAAGGGCAAGGCAGAGTGGCCCTGTCGGGCTCAGGAGAGCTTCCTGGGAGAGGTGCGGGCTCCCCAGCAAGTGACTAGGCTGGTGGTCTAAAACCCCAGCATCCCCAGGCGGCCTGCTGGGAAGAGGGAGACAGGAGGAGGTGACTCAGAAGAGAACACCGTTGCCCAGGATTTCATTTCTGTGTTTAACAGGAAGAGTGTAAACACAGGCCTCTCTCTGCTCTCGGAGCTGTGCAGAGCCAACAGTCAAGTCAGCGGGGCTTTAAAAGCCCACAGCAGAAGCAAACAAGCCAGATTCCAGGGGAAAGAGAAGGTAAATGTTATGGCGGACAGTGAGTTGGCCGTATAGACCTCGCAGCTGCTAGCCACATAACCAGGCTAACCAAGGCTATCCTGATGTGTTTATTTTAAATCAGGAACTGGCAAAGCCCTTCTGGAAAGAACCAGTGTGTGTGTTATGCTTTGGGATTTTCCTTTCGCAGGCCACGGTGCATGAGGGGCAGAGGGGTGTGGTGTGAGGGATGTGGCTAAGCCCTGACGGACACTGAGCACTGCAGTGACAGGAGGAGCAGGGTCAGAGAGGTCAGAAAGGTCACAGCAGATGTCAGTCCTCGCTGAGCCAACAGCCTGAAACTGTCACTGAAGCTACAGGGACCTGGGTCTCCTAGAAGGCGAATATGGGTTCTGTCTGAGTCCTGCCTATCATGGGTCTTGAATGGCAGGCCACAGAGCACCAGTATGGAGGACTTCACCCCAGAATGGCCTCAAGAGATTTGTGCCTTCAAGAAAGTTGTAAGCATCAGCCCGTGGCTCCAGGTTCGAGACTGTGTCTCTCTAACAGACACAGAGGGAGCTCTGAGGAGAGGGGTGCAGCACACTGCTGGTGAGGTCCTCAGAACCCTGAGACCTCCCCTGCTGCTGAACTAGCGAGTCTTTGCCGTCTTCGGTACAGTGAAAAAACTGCAAAAGTCAGGAACGAGTTTCCTTTTTCCATCCCCAGCTCAGTGCTGCTTGGAGTCTGACTGACAGGGTCCTTCAGCACCCCACTTCTGAGTGTCTCTAGCTCATCTCACAGGCTAGAAATGTCGGTCACACAGCTTCCTGTCACAGTGTACTATTAAAGTACCTCCCAAATTCTGAAACTATCAAGATGACATCATGCTCGATGCCTCTGGAGGAAAAGCTTTCCCAAGATCTGAGCGCTTCCATTAGAGGGACTCTCCAAGTTGCAAGGTCAGAGGTCGCCGGGCTCTTCCAGCTCTGGCTGTAGTTACCAGGGCAAGCTGTCATGGGAGTTGACCAAGGTGCTTGAAGTGCAGCTGTGTGACAGCTGTTCCTTGAAAACACAGCTGTCCTCACCACTGCTGGACACTGCTCTCTGACGGCATTTGGTGTGTGGAAAGAGCTTCGAGCTTTCCCTTCCGGGTCACTGACCACCAAGGACAATGAGTCCTTCCTGTGGGTCCCTAAGCCGCCCGCCCAAACTTCTTTTCCAGCATGCCTAGTCATACCTGCCCGTCATTTCCTACTGGGATGGCTGCCCTTTGTTTTTTAATAAGAACTCCTTTAAAAAGCAAAGCTAGGCCTGGAGGCTCTTGCTTTCTGACCCTTGGTTTAAAAACTCTGACCGGGCCGGGTGGCAGCGGTGGCGGCGGCGCCGCATGCCTTTCATCCCAGCACCCAAGAGACAAAGGCAGGCGGATCTCTGTGAGTTCGAGGACAGCCTGGTCTACAGAGTGAGACAGCCAAGGCTACACACAGAGAAATCTTGTCTGGCAGGGGGAGGGGGGGACGACACAACACACGGGACCTGACTGGCAGGAAGATTGGCAGACCATAGTCATGTCCACACATGAATAGAGAATTTATTCTTACTTGTCAAGGTGTAACAACACATTTTAAGGGCCAGCACCTTGCACTGAAATAATGCCCCCTGCAAAAGGAAAATTAGATTTCCCTAGAGGACCCTGACCTGACAGGCTTAGGGCCACACAGAGTCTGGAAAGCCCAGTACCTGCCTACTGTTTAGGAACCTTTAGACATTGTCCACACAGTCCCTAGAGAGCCCTCAACCCCAGCCACCCCCATGGCACTATCAATGGGCAGCAAACATCTGCTGTTAGCTTTTACCAGAGCTACGTTGCCACATCACTACTTACTCTGCACAGGGCGGTGTTGGGGTGCAAGGTGGCAGGGGGCTCTGATCGCCACTTGTCTGGTCCACCAGGGAATACTTAATATTGGTATATTCATGTCCTTTCCTCTTGCTTTTCTGCAAGTTGAAAAAATATAGGTAAGAAGGTCTGTGAGTGTGTGTTCTAAAAGAATGCAAGAACAAAAAGCTATTTTATCAAAGGAAAAGAGAGAGACAGATGGACAGGCCAAAATCTTAAGAACACTGACATGCTGATCAGACTGTCAGGAACGTGTCTCTTTCTCGACCCAGCCCCCTCCGGAGGGATGCTCTGGGACCAGAGTCCCCCAGAGCTCCTGGAGCTGCAGGAAGACAGAAACTGCTCCCTGAGCCAGGCCAGAGGCCCTGCTCCTAAGCACAGAGTTCCTGCTACCCTTGCACGGAGCTCTAATCACTTCGTGTGTGTGTGTCCACCACATTCAGTAGACAGTAAGAAAGGGATTCACTCCGGAAGGATTCACTCTAAGTAGAAATGCATGCAGGGATGGAAGGCACAATAATGCACTTTATTCCTTTAGCACTGAGGGTATCGCCCAGATCCCTTGCACATGGATGGGTGTGTGCCCTGCCACTGAGACACTCCCCCAACCCTGCAGCCTACCTCCTAACACACATCAGAAAAGATCACAGCACCTTCACATTTATTTTGACTCAAATGATGTGGGGAGGCAAGGAAACCAACAAAGAAAATCAACAGGAATGTAAGCTCATCTCATGATGTCTTTGTATGTATGTGTGATGTGTGAGGGCTCACACATTCCACACACATGTAGAGAGCGGAAGACAAGCCCGTGGAGTCAGCGTCTCCTTCTGCCATGGCACTGAGGACTTAGGTTGTCAGGTCTGCACAGCAGGTGCTTTTACCCGCTGCACCACCCCACTGGCCGGTCACCTTTTCTCATCTTCACTGCAGACTGCCACTTCTCAAAGCGGAACCCGAGAGCACGAGAGCAGCGGCACCGCCCTGACCTTAGCACTGCTAGGAAGGCAGGGCGGCCATACTGAAGACTGGCATACACCTGGGAACCGCCATCAGCTGCTCAGAGAGGTTAAACTGGGAGGCTGGAGACAAAATTAGCAGTAAGTGCTTCCTACCTGGCTGTACAAGGCTCGGGGCTTGACTCCCTGGCATTGGAGGAAAGAAAAGATGCCAATGATTCTCAAGAGTGAAAGTGGCACTAACGAGCTAATCTTTAGGGGAAATGAAAAAGCATGTATTGGAGGAACATCTGCATCTGTGTCTCCCTGGGAAACCCTTGCACTAGAAGCCTAAGAACTGGACAGGGGTGGTTGGAATAGGATGCTCTTTATAAATGCCCAAGGGAACCAAAGAACAGGATGCGTCCATATAGTGAAACAGAACGCAGGAGAGGACGGTGTGCAAACAGATTCCTCTAGAATGCTCGGTGGAAAACACAAGCTGAGTAACAACAGGACACCGGGTCCCACTGGCCAACAACTGAACTAGTGAACAATGGTCTCTGCAGTTCCGAGATGTCTATGTTTGTGTTTCACTTATGTATGTACGTGTGTGTCTGTTTGTGTGCATGCCACATGTGTTCAAGTGCCCTTGGAAGCCAGAAGGGGCGCTGGATTCCCTGAGCTGGAGTTATAGGCTGTTGCTATAATTGCCAATGTGGGTGACAGGAAGTGAACTCAGGAACTCTGGAAGAGTGGCAAGGGCTCAGAGTGTCTGAACCTCCTCTCCAGATCATGTACGTGCACTTTAAACAAAGGAAGTCACTTTGGGAACAAAGACGTAGCCCAGTTGGTGAGCGCCTGCCTGCCTGCCCAGCATAGGTGCCCTGGCTTCCATCCCCAGCAGCACATTAACCACTCATGATCTCAGCACTAGGAAGGTGGAGCTCAGGGAGGATCAGAAGTTCAAGTTCATCCTCAACTTCACAGTGAGTGGGAAGCAAGTCTGGGCTAAACGGGACCTTGTCTCTACACAAACAAACAAGTAAATACAGCATAGAGCTTGGGGTTGCTCTGGGACTCCAGGGTGGAGACGTCAAAGAGAAACTCAGCTGCACTGTCTCTGCATCACCAGATGGAGACTGACAGGAGCCCAGCACACCCACGGCTACTCAGGAGCAGAGGTCTAGCACACAGACCATCGAGCACAGCACACCAGCCTGCAGATCACAGGGCCGTGCTCCACCACGGAGGCTGGGCCAAAGGAAGGAGGCGGCTGACACCTGACACAAGCTGCTCACACTGCAACACGCTCCTCAGGAAGGAGTGCTGGGCCCAGGAGCTCGGTGAGCCCTGGAGGAGGGGTCCTGTAGGGAGACACCACAGCCCAGGCCTACATCCTGCAGGGCCATTGCAGTGTCCCCAGCCCCCTCTGGGCTAAGGCAAAGGAGGTGAGAGGAGCATTATCAACTTCATACAGTCACCCTCTATATCTGTGGCTCCTACAGACTCAACGGTGAATCAAGAATATCCATAGACAATGATGTGCTGAGCATGCGCAGACTTTCCCCACATTCAAGGCCTGCCTGGGCTACATGAAGGCCATGGGAGGACTGAGCAGGTTCTCTGCAAAGCTAAGCCCTCACACAAGGAACGTGAGAATCGGCAGACCTCGTGTCTAAGTCTCCTTGGATGTTGATTGACGGCTGCACTGTGTCAGGAGTGGCAATGACCACTGAGCACCACACATGGATGTGCTCCCAGAGCAGAGGCAACAGGCATTCTGGGACAACAAATCCAGTCAAGGAGGTGGCTTCTCGGTGACCATTCTCCTTTTGTTCTGGGGGAATGAGCCAAAGGAGGGTGAGAACACACCCTGGGACAGAAAAAAAAGCCACAGTGGCTGTGCTGGGCGTGGCTATGTGCACACATGATCACAGCATTTGGGAGGAGGAGGAGGCAGGAGGAACAGGACTCTAACCTAGTCTCTGGGCTGGAGAGACGTTGCGACAGGTAAGAGCTCACACTGCTCCTGCAGAGGACCAGAGTTCAAGTCCCAACACCCTCCTCAGATAGATCATACCTGCCTATAACTCCAGCTCCAGGAGGTCTGACACCTCTGACCTTCACAGGCACCTGCATGTGTGTGTACACACCTATACACACAGAGAATTATAAATAAAATTTATTTTAAAAGAAAGAAAGAGCCCTTGTCTGAAATCTTCTCTCTGACACTGGAGACTGGAAGGGTAGAGGCAGTGGGGGGCTGCACCCCATCAAAGCTGGCCGAATGTAACGTCCCGACTGCATGCGTGCTGCCCAGCAGATCCGCAGAACTTTCTCACCGTGCATGACAGGAATGTCACTCCCACTGACAGCGGCCACCCACTTTCTCCTTACTCAGAACCTTCCTGGAGCCAAAACCAATTGTTTCTGCAGGAAGTGGCCAGCACTCTCTAGGGAGGGACAAGTGACACGGTAGGGCAGGACTGTCTGGATGGATGGTGACAGCAGCCCAAGAAGCTCGTCTTCCAGCCTTTTAGGAAGAACATCGGGAGAAGCCAGATGGGCCTGTCTTAGCGCTGTGGCTGCCCCATGGGGAGGAGGGGTTCTCTTTTACTTCCAGGTGAGGGGAGGCTCTGTGTTCCCAGTACCTAGGAAACCCCCAGACCAAGGCTACATGTCTGCAATTCATCTATGGTCAACTGATGCTCGGGGAGAAAGGCTGAAACCATCTGCAGTGAAGTGTCTTCCATGGGGAGACACTCTGACCAAGAGCAGGATGGGAGGGCAGGAGCCCCTGGCTGGGACACAGAACCGTGACTCCTTCCACACCCCATCGAGGAATCTCACTATTCTGACTCTCCCCATTCAGCCTCCCAGCCTGAACAAACCATCATCAGTTATGTCTCCAAGCACCCAAGCCTGGTGTCCACGTCCCACAGGAGGCAGGGTCCTCTCTTAAATCAAGGCCATTTTATGCCACTCTTCTGCTTCCGACTCCCAATGGCTTCCACAGAATAGTGCGCAGCCTTCCCAGGGAGGGCCCTGCTCCAGCCGGAATGGAAAGGTGCCCACAGCCTCATGCGTTTGAGCACCTGCCCCCGCCCCAGCTGGTGATGCTCTTTGGGGAGCTGATAGAACCTTTGGCATGGGACCAGCAAGTAGAAGTAGGTCCCCAGGTGCTCTGCTTCTGGTCTTGTCCCTGTTTCCCCACCCACCAAGATGTGACCAAGTCATGTCACAAGCTTCGAGTCATGGAAAGGAGGAAGGGAGGGAAGGAAGGAGGGAGGCAGATGGGCACACACACACACACACACACACACACACACACACAGAGAGCGTTCAGCTTAAGAAGGCAACCCATCTGCAGTAACACAGGTGAACCTGGAGGTCATCAAGCTGAGTGAGAGATGCCAGACACAGAAAGCCAAGCACTCCATGGAGTCTGACAGACTCCTAGAAACTGCGATTGGAGTGAGGGGGGCGGTGTGAGGGGTGGTCAGAGACTGGTGGTGGGAAGACACTGGTCACAGGTGCACATCCTCGACGTAACATGGAGGTGCTGGAGGCCTCATGCTCAGCACTAGACTGGACAAGACAGAGCAGACCTGAACTCTGAGGAGTGCAGATGCCAACGTCTCAGCACACACAGAAAGACGTGGGCTGCAGGGTGCTGGGTGCAAGGAGCCACCTGACCATGGCGGTCATTCCAGTGTTTCCACACACCAAAACCAAGGAGATCATTGAAGAAACAGCAAGTGTCATTTGTCAAATGCTATGCGAATGTTTTTAGGCAAGAATTACTGGGACTGGAGAGATGGCTCAGAGGTTAAGAACACTGGCTGCTCTTCCAGAGGACCCAGGTTCAATTCCCAGCAACCACATGTCAGCTCACAACTATCTGTGACTCCAGTTCCAGGAGACACAACCCCCTTATACAGACATACATGCAGGCAAAACACCAAGGCACATAAAAATAAATTCATTCATACATTCATTTAAAAAAGGGGGGGCAGGTGGTAAATCTCTGTGATTTGAGGCCAGCCTGGTCTACAAAGCGAGTTCCAAGACAGCCAGAGCTACAGAGAAACCTTGTCTCAACAAACAAAAAATATATACACATATATTTATGTATCAATGTATAACTAGTAGGGGAAAAAAATGTACAGTGAGAACTAGGCTGCTTCTAGCCTCAAACATCCCTCCCCCACCATGGTGGACATCAGTCCAAAGGTTAGGCCATGCTGATTAAGCACTGTGCTGCTGAGCCACGTCCTCAGTTGAGTGTGTCCAAATCTTTTATTCACCACGTGGGATGTATATGTATGAGTCTCAATGTGTGTCTGTCTCTGTGTGTGTGTGTGTGTGTGTGTACATGTTCGTGCGCACATGCACGTGACTCCTGTAATAACTCCCAAATGAAGAAACCTGTTACCTTCTAGGAGCAAAGCTAACCTGATCATCTTAAATCAACTCAGCAATGGGCACAACACAGAATGGCTGGAGTCTCAGGAGAGGGAACAACTGGCAGCTTCCCATCTGTGGAGGGCAGAGTGACAGCGTGACAGAGAAACCGCTCCCATGAAAGACAAGCCACACACATGGTGTGACCCTGACCTCAGCGGGGACAGCTTGTAAAGTCTGAATGTGGTGTGTGAGTTGTTTTACCTTTCTGGGGGGCGGGGGCGGTGTATGTGCAGGCATGCGTGTGCACATGCACGTGAGACCAGGTGCCTGAGGAGGTGAGAACTGGGGGGAAAGGGTTGGATCCCCTGGAGCCGAAGTTAACTACAGTCTGAAGCCTCCTGACAAGGGTGCTCTCTACAAGCAGTGCACATCCTTAATCTCTGAGCTACTTAATCTTCCAGGGCGTATTTTTGGCTTCTTGCTTGGTTTTGGTTTTATCAAGAGAAGGACTAATGTAGCCCAGGCTAGACTGGGATTTTCGGCCTCCCTGCCTTAGCCCCCAAGTGCTTGAGTTGCAGAAGTGTGTGGCTGCCCCTGGCATGCTTGTGTGTGGCACTGGGATGGACCCCAGAATCCTGGCGGGTGCTCCCATACTGGGCTAAGCCCCAGGCCTTACCTGAGGCTACACAGAGCGTTCTATCCGTGTCTGCTTCTCAGCTTGGTAACTGAACCATGACTAGGTAACAGAGTGTCCTTATTTTTTTGAAAATACATACTAACACATTAGAAGCAAAGAGGTATAAATTCATATAACTTCTAAACGGTCCCTTTTTAAATATTACATACATTTTAAAGTTTAAAGAGAGAATGATTGCTTGTGTTAACATCTTAACATTCAGATAAGTTGGGTAAAGGAAATACCACACACTGCTTTTGCAAATAAAGTACTTACTACTATAAATGGAAAATTTTAAAAACAACCTCTCAACCAAACCGCAGGGACAAGAGGCCTGTTATACTTAGACACTCATGACTGTCCCTACGCTCTGTCCCCAACACCCCCGTCTGTATTTCTTTCTTGCTGGCAAGTGTGTATATTCTGTCTCTGTCTCTCTCTTTCCCCTTCCTTTCCCACGGCTCTCCACCCAGCTGTCCCTTGCTTGTTTTCATTGAACCTTCTTTAGCAAATTCTTTTACTCCCAAAGGACCTTAACTCATCGTAAATTGGAAAATGACTACATTTCGAAATAATTCATTATCCTGAATTAGTTTTGTCCTGTTGCTTAATTCAAGGATCTGCTTGACCTGAGAGGGAGCCATGGCGGTGGGTGAGATTGCAAAGTTCTCCTGCAGAGAGAAGCGCAGTTCCCCCTCAGCAATGCTGGGCAGTGCAAGTACACATCCTGCTCCAAGGGATCTGAGGGTCCATGCACACCTGTACTAACATGCACAGACCAATACATGAACACAGGCTCACACATATTTAAAATTAAATTTAAAAAATAAGTGGGGGGGGGGGTTGGTTCTTTGTGTATTGGTTTCTTTTTCATTGTTGTTTTGTTATTTTTGCAACCACGTCTCATACAGCTCACGCTGACCAGGAACTCAATAATACATAGCCAAAGATAACCTTGAATTTCTGCTCCACCTGTTTCTACCTCTCAGTTCTAACACAAATCCAAATCCAAGTGAAACAGAGAACTCCTGGCAAGATGACAGGATGCTCCTGAGTTGTTCCTAACCAGACTTAGCAACCATGGTGCCACCTCTTTAAATTTATTCTCTGAGCATCTCTTTTTAAACTATTAATGGCCTCAATTAAATGTAATACTGGAAGACATGTATAAAAGAACTCCAGAGTAACCATCTACATTTAGAGGTCTGGGGGTGCAGATCGGTGGTGGAGTGCTAGCCTACTGTGCATGAAGCCCTGGGTTTGCTTACGGTGAATTCAGATTTAAAACACTGAAGTTCAGGATAGGTGGCTGTCAATCAATCACATGACCTCACATACGTATGCACACTTGATTTCTCAATGTGTGCACAGTGAACCACCTGGCACAGGTGTCTGGGTGAGCACCTAAGCTCAGGAAGGGACACTTCCCTCTGGCTCCCAAGGCTGAAGATGTGGTTCTGTTGCTCCAGGCCAGGTACAGCAGCGCACACCTTCACCCAGCACTCGGGAGACAGAGGAAGCAGCACCTCTGTGAGTTCAAGGCCAGCCTAGGCTACACAGTGAGTTTCAGGCCAGCCAGGACTACACAGTGAGACGGTCCTTAAAAAAAATAATACAAAGTCGGGTGGTGGTGGTGGCGGCGGCGGCGGCGGCGGCGGCGGCGGCG